GGGGGGGCCTCTGAACCGATGACCCCGCGCGGCGGGTCGCTGACTACTGTGCCTCTCTGTCATGATGGTACAAGTACGTGTCTGTAGCGTAGGCTAAATGACTGATCATTGGCGCCAACAGATTTTCATCGGTGCTAAAACTGCTTGTTTTTGAATTAGTGATAGAAAAGCGAACTTTTTTAGGTATTTTATACTCGAGCCCAGCATTTGGAGCGGCCTCACAAGGGAACCCCGCCAAGTGTAAATTCCCGATTTTCATTCTACTTTGGGAAATTGTTGGTCTAAATATGTCATCGAAGGACACATCAAAGATTTTTGCTTAAATTCATATTTAGGGGTCATTTTGGGTATTTGTTCAAAAAGCTGCTATTTCAATTATTTTTTATAACTTTCAAGAATGCTTCCTAAGAGGTAAATCATCAAATTGCGGCCCTATGGGCGAAAATTTTGTCCGTTTTGCTCTATCTGAAGCCGTTTAGGCGCTACCGCCACGTTTAGGAGGTGAAATGTACGGGAATCACTGGGGCTTAAGAGCAGCGGTTGTAAAATGAAGTCCCACAAAAAATGTTATAAAACAAAAGTTAAAGAGCTTACATTTTTCAACAACTTTTGCTTCATAACATTTTTTGTGGGACTGCTTTTTACTACCGCTGCTCTTAATCCCTAGTGATTCCCGTACATTTCACCTCCTAAACGTGGCGGTAGCGCCTAAACGGCTTCAGATAGAGCAAAACGGACAAAATTTTCGCCCATAGGGCCGCAATTTGACGAGTTACCCCTAAGGAAGCATTCTTGAAAGTTATAAAAAATAATTGAAATAGCAGCTTTTTGAACAAATACCCAAAATGACCCCTAAATATGAATTTAAGCAAAAATCTTTGATGTGTCCTTCGATGACATATTTAGACCAACAATTTCCCAAAGTAGAATGAAAATCGGGAATTTACACTTGGCGGGGTTCCCTTGTCAGGCGGGCCCAGCTGGCGTGGACGAGTTGCCTTTCGAACCAGCTCCCCTTCTCTCTCGCTCCACACTAGATTGCGTGTTTAAATTTGCGTTGGGCGACCAGGTGCTCTGATTGGCCAGTATCGAACCCGCCTCGCCACCTGTGACCGGTTCGGCCTGTTGTGATCCAGTAGAGGTAGCCCTTCGCCTTGGGGCACTGTGTGTGTGTGTGTGTGTTTGTGTGTGCGTGTGTGTGTGTGTGTGTGTGTGTGTGTGTGTGGCGTCCTCTGAGAGAGTGTCAGTATATAGTGCAGGAGAGCAGAAAAAAAGACCGGTAGAAAAGAGAGGGGGAAATGAAGCGAGATAGATGATTACGCTGGAGTCGCCGAGAAGCGTCCCCGGGCCCGGGCCCTCGTTCTCATCAGCCAGTCGCACATTATTTCAATTTCAGCGGCGACACGCTGTTGGAAGTAGTTTCCAAAGCCTCGCAGGGGCGGCTCCACTCCGTCGTAGCCATTCACGTCAGGAGGAAGTGCCCTGCTCCTCCTCCGCCCCGCACTGCCTCATCTGCTCCCCCCTCAGCAGCCCCTGCCGGCTCCCCCAGTCAGGCCCCTACGCGGCACCACTTGTCCTCTCGCTCGCTGTTGCGTTCCAAAGCTTCTCCAATCCAAGTATACTTGCAAATTACCCGGACGATATTACAGCAGAACAGCGGCCCACCCCGCCCCGCCCCCACGCCCCTTGCCTCTCCATCCCCTCTTCTCTCCCTGGTTCCTCCATATTCCCAATTCTCATCCCTGACTAAGTTGATTCCAACCGATGACGACTTTCTCATGTCATTTTTGTCTCATGTTTTGCCGGACTTACCAAACGGCTAGCTAAACAGTAACAAGAACTGTTCATTGTTCGTTGCGACCCTTCTAAGTTATATATTCTGCTCGTTTTAAAATGTGCTCTGTAAATTTACAAGAAATTCTTTCTAACCGATTTTACAAACAAAACCACAAAAACTACCTAGGGTAAGATGCCCTCTGATGGCCACCTTAAGAATGGGCCTGCCCAATGATGGCCACCCCTTTTTCTTGTAATGTAGACAACGATATGAAGTAGTTTGGCTTATTATGCCCAAGTAGGG